CGAGCCTACCTTCGCAAATGCGGTGATCGCATTTGCGACCTAAACATCGCAAATGCGGCCATACCAGTACCAGTAATCCTATTTCTTTGCAATTCACTCCGAAGTTATCCCGAATCTCACCCGAGCCCCCGGGGCTCCAAACCAAACACTCGCACAAGTCTAAAAACATAAAGTGGACTTGCTCGAAGCCTCAAATCGCATCAAACAACGCTAAAACCATGAATCGCACTCCAATTCAAGCTTAATGAACTTTAAGATTTCAAACATCTGCTTTAAGTGTTTAAACCTATCAAATCACATCCGATTGACCTCAAATTTTGCAAAAAAGTCATATTCAACATTACGGACCTACTCCAACTTCCGAAATCGGAATCCGACCCCGATATCAAAAAGTCAACTCTCGGTCAAACTTCCCAAAAACCTTCAAATTTCTATCTTTAGCCAAATAACTCCAAAATGACCCACGGACCTCCGAATTCACTTCCGATCGCGCTCCCAACACCAGAATCATCATACGGAGCTATTCCAGACTCGGAATCCCAAACGGACCTTGATAACACTGAAATGCACTTCAACCCAAACTTAGGAAATTCTTCCAAGAATGCTAACTTCCACAATAGGCGCCAAAACGCTCCCGGTTCTTCCAAAACCTGATCCGGACATACACCCAAGTCCGAAATCATCATACGAACCTGCTGGAACCTTCGAATCCCGATTCTGAGGTCGTTTACCTAAAAATCAAATCTTAGTTAATTCTTTCAACTTAAGTCTTCCGAAATGAGAATTCTCTCTCCAGATCAACTCCGAACTTCTCGGAGTTCTATTTCAACCACGCGTACAAGTCATAATACCTGAAGTGAAGCCGCTCATGGCCTCAAACTGCTGAACGACGCGCTAGAGCTCAAAACGACCAGTCGGATAGTTATAGGTGCTTCATTATACGCTTTGGTTGGTCTCGCTGTGCAGTATTAACTGATGAAGTTTCATAATTGTATAGATTTCCCCGTTGTCTTGGTTTGAGATATAAATGTTATTGAGGGTTTTGAGCTAAATTGTGAAATACTTGTTCTTATTTTGTGATTGGTACTGATATAGGGGGATCGGGTTGCACGCCGCAACAGGAGGAATAAGGGTGAAATGTGATTGTCTGGTAGGATTAGGTTGCGTGCCGCAACAAGGAGTAATAAGGTTGGACTGGTGGGATCGGTTTACACGCTGCAACAGGAGGAATAAGGGTGATATATTGAAGAGTAATAAGGGTGGACTGGTGGGATCGGGTTGCATGCCGTAACAAGGAGTAATAAGGGTGAATGTTCATATTGTTACTAATTATATGGTGGAATAGGGGTGCGCGCTGTATCATTTGTTGTTTATGTATTCTTCATCTGCTGTGATTTATTCTGGTAGTATTGTAACTCTCTTAAGGATTGGTTATAGCTGAGTTCTGGCAGGATGTTTGGGTTCCGTATTTACTTTATTGCGAGTTACCGTTCCAATTCGTTCTGTATTTCCTTTTTGCTTTATTATATACTGTTGCAACTTATATTGTTTTATGCCCCGCCGTAGCCTCGTCACTACCTCGTCGAGGTTTGGCTCGGCACTTACCAGTACATGGGATCGGTTGTACTGATACTGCACTCTGCACTTCCTGTGCAAATTTTGGAGCTGGTTGTGACTGATCGAGAGGTCGGCTGCAGGCATTCATCCAGGAGAACGAAGGTAGTCCTGCAAGCGTCCGCAGGCCCTGGCGTCCCCTCCTATGTTTTCCTCATTTATGTTTTATTTTCTTTTGAGACGGATGTATTTTTCTTTCAAACCCTTACTTGTAGTATTAATAGAAAGTTCGTGGGTTATGACACCAGTTTCCGGGTGGTAACAGTTTCGGTTTTGTTAATAGTATTAGGATAATCAATTAAGTATGTACTTTCGCTTTTATTTCCGTTGATTTGGTTTTGTAAAGTAAATGAAAAAAAAAAAGTGAATAAAACTCTAACGTTGGCTTTCCTAGCGAGTGCGATGTTAGGCGCCATCACGGTCCCGAAGGTGGAAAATTCTGGCCGTGATAGTTTCATGTTCCATTCCTCGGGAAATGGCATCCTTTCAGTAGGAATTAAGTCGGAAGTCTTGATTAAGACAAACCAACTCATCCATCCTCGGTCCTTGTCCTCATCGATGCTGGAGAATAGTGACTTCGAGGATCGACGTTGAAGCTTTATCAGACCGCCTCGATAAAGGCGAGGGCTGTATGGCCTGATCAGATGGTCGAGGGTAAAAGGCATCCCCTCAACATGGCCCGAGAAATACCTGATTAAATTGACGATGCGCCAGAAAGAAGAGTAGATCTGGCCAAGCGTCACCTGATATTGGTGGCAGAAATCAAGAAATGACTGGATCTACGGGACCTAGTGCTGGATCTACGGGACCCAATGTGAAAGGGTAACTATACACGCTTAAGTACCCTACCACATGTGTGGTGATGTCCTCTTCAGGGGAAGGAATCACGACATCCTTATCCCCCTAATTACAATCCTCTTTCACCTGCTCAAGTTCATCTTCAGTTATCAAGCAGATGTATCGAGATATGGGCTCACATCGACCTGGAACCGATGTAGGCTTATCGATTTTCAAAACGGAAGATAGCTCGCATGGCCCGGGAATACATTCCTCGATACGAGGTGGCACCGTCGTTCTACCACTAGCCCGCCACGATGATGAGGAGGCTTTTTCCTTCTAAGGAACGGTTTTAGATGTTTTGGCCATTACTGTTGAGAAATTCAAAAGAAGAGAAAAAGTTGATGCTATAGCAAGAACAAGTTGGGGAAAGGATGAACTCAGGAAAGATGAAGAAGATAGTGAGGTTTTGATAAAGATTTGAGAAGTAAAGATTGTAAAAGTTGTAAAATTGACTTATTTATAGTGGCCGCTTTAACGGTTTGGGGAAGCCAATGGCCGACCATCAGCCACCTTCAATTAATGGCCTTGGGAACTATGCAGATGCGACATTTCAATCACTTCAGTCGCCGTCGTCACGAGATTGACATCATGATCGAGGCATCGGAGGATCGAGGATCAAATCGTTTCTTATCATCTTACTCAAAAAAACGCGGGGACTATCTGTATACGGTCGAAATCAGTTATGAGTCGCCTCAAGCCCAAGTTCAGGATGTATTGAGTTCAAGCCTGATAGACCAAGCTCGAGCCCGACGACAAAATATAAGGCTCGAAGATCGAAGTACTCTATGAGCACCGAAGCCGAGTACGACCAACCCCGAGATGATGTCGTTATGGGTTTGTAACAGAAAGAGCAAGATTCCTGCCACATCTCCAAGATCATGGCGTAAATTCCGAAATAGATTTATACGAGTTAGTACGAATCCGTACCAGGCGGTTAGACACCTGTCCCAATAAGATTCCTTACTGTAAATAGAAATGTACCTCATTTAGAGTTCCCCTACTATATAAAGGGGACCCTAATCATTTGTAACAACGATCAATCATTGGCAAAAGAACATACTCTCTTACTTTCTTGCTCATTAATCAAAATTGTCTCTTAACTTTATTGTCTTACTTTACTGTTCTTGTTGACAAACCTCGAGGCCATTACAGCTCGAGGTCAAGATTGGCTTGAACACTGTTCTGATTCAACTTTCTTCTGTCATTTATACGTTAGATTTCTTGGTTCTTTTTCTATCTATGAAGTAGGACGAGTGTCCTACCTAATTCAATGCTAGGTAACCAAGTTAGTATCCCAGCGGAGCTCTTGAAGGGGGGAACATCCTAATGGATGAGTATGAGCACGTTATACATCTCATATTGGACCCCCAGGGGAAGGAAATGATCTTTACATGGAAATGAAAGAATCTGGAGTGATTAATGAAGAAAATATTGCAGAATCAAAAGTGGCCTTATATACGTTTGATTTCTTGGTTATTAATTAGTATTGAACTAAATCACCTATCTTTAAGACCATAAAACAAGTTTAATTGTTACTCGTATTTTTTAGGTAAACAATATGCAAGAACATGTTGCGGCTGAACTAACTTCAAAGAGAAAAATTCGATAGCTTGGGATTCTCGAATTCATAGATGCTCCAGTTATTGTCTCACCACTTTAATTGTATGATGGGCATTTACAATTTCACATGGAGTTAAACAATATTCAATTGGGGACGAGAAGACTAAAACATTTCCTTTTGCTCTAAACAGTCAAGATAGAACTACTTAGCCCGATAACTTAAGGGTTTCCGATGGATGAGTTAAAAAATGACTAGGTTAATTTTGTATTTACTTTAACTCAATAAATCATGTACTCCATGTCCCAATTTATATGACGTTTGGATAAGCATAAAGTTTATGAAAGAAATACGTTTAAAAGTTGTGGTATAAAACAAGTTATACATAATTTTATAGCTATAAATCATCTCACTAAAATAAAATAAAAAGTTCAAGATTAACTTGTTTTTAAATATAAAAATGTATCAGTTTTTGCATAGACAAAAAAAAAAAGTATCACATAAATTGGATGAGGAAGTAATAATTATGTACGAATTCATTACTAGTTCAGGTCCATATTATTTGTTGTTTTGGCATATTAAATTTGTTCCAAATTAAAATATTTGACATTTTAGAACAACAAGAAGCATCTATTACTTTTTTCTTTAAATTACCCTTACTGCTCCAATTAATTGAATATTAATTAAGAGAGACACTTAAAAGAGAGTAATAATAGTTTAAACGAATAATTTTTATTATTAATGGTATTAATTATCTTGCTTAAGACCCTTGAAAAAAAAAAATCCATGACAAAGAAAGAATGATTATGCATGAAACTATTCAAAAACATCCATCTATATGGCTTTTTATTATAACTAAACTCGGGAAATCTTACATTCGAAAAAAAGGATCACTCTAATCCCAAACACCATTCAGCTAATCATTCAACCATGTCGATGAATACATCTTAGTACAGAAATCCAAAATCATTAGCCTTAATTAGGTGGTTCAGTAGTAGTCATCACTGGCAGCAGTTGAAACCCCGGGACCAGCAGCAGCAGCAGGGGAAGCAGCATTTGGTGCACCAGCCTCAGATGCTGCAGAAATTGTTGACTCAGGTGCAGCTGCATTTGGTGCACTAGCCTCACTGGCGGGTGCGGGGGGAGATGAAGCCTCCACATCAGAAGATGAAACTGGGCTCGAGGCTTCTGGAGCTTGAGAAGCAGAAGGGGTAATGGAAATTGAGTCTGCTGATGGAATGCTAGCTGCTTCAGGGGATGAAGCAGGGGAAATGGCTTGTGCCAATCCTGCAACAAGGGCAACGAAGACGAGAGCCAATGCAATTACTGGGCGTGCCATTTTTTGCTTTTGTTTCTTGAGTTTTTCTGAGTTTTTGGTTTTATTGATAGGGAGTTATTCGATTCTTTATTATAAGTACTTCTCTTTTATGATCAGAGAAATACTTGGGCGGCTAAAGAATGAATTAAACAGAGTGGTAAGGGTAGCTTTTATAGGGTGGCAAAAGGTGTCTAAGAGCGGACATGGCGGGGATGAACGGACAAAAATACATTTGACAGGTAAAACAGAAAACAAAGAGTGGCTGATGATGATCGTGTTTGTTCGAGAATGAAGGAGAATGTAGACCGAGTACCATGCTATTTTGCTTGATTTGTACCACAACATCTTAGGTGGTCTTCTTTAACCATTACCTTTACATATGAACTAGTATTAGTACCCGCATTATGATAATGCTAAATTCTATAAATTAAACAGAATAAATTATATGAATAACTATTGATATAAACTTAAATATTATAACTTCATATATAGTCGGTGATACAAACTAATAAAAATGCAATATGATTCAAAAATAAATACTCCTTCCCTTTCAATTTACATAAAATATTTTTCTTATTAGTCTTTTCCAAAAGAATGACACATTTCTGTATTCGAAAATAATTTAATTTTCAATTTTATCCATTTTACATATAATGAGAAGTTCTTACACAAATACAAATATCATGGGCCCACAAAACTATTAGGATCATAAGTTTCAAAAGTCTTCTTTTTTGGTTCTAAACTCCGTGCCAAGTCAAACTATCTCATCTATATTGAAGTTGAGTGAAGTCATACTATATAGAGTAATAACTAATAAAAATACATTTAGTAATATCTTAATTTCAATTATAAAAATATATTATATTATTATCTCAACATAATAACTTCTCACATCAACATCAACTTCTACCAACCTAAAATTACACAATGACAAATTAATATATACATACATAATAATTTATTAACAACCAATATATTCTAACTTTTGAGAGTTACCAACTTATAAAACAGTTGGATCGTAATTTGCTCAATAATTTTGCTAGTTACCTCAATTTTAACCACGCAATCAAAGTCACTTTATTTTTAACAATTTAAATGATACCCTTTGGGATATAGTTAAGATTAATATATTATAATTAAATAAATGTTAACCTACTTTAAATATTTTTCTTCTATGATGCACATGTACTAAGAGAAGAATCTATCCTCCCTTCTTATCTATTTTAGCATAGCAACTGCTAGCACTAATAGAAAAAAAAATGCATGTAATGCTTCCAAACAATTGAGATATAAAATAAATTATAAAATATTGGATAACTAATTTTACCGTAAGGCAACACAATTGACATTTGTTCATCCGATGTCTGAGTCGATTCATAGTTTAAAACATTATCCCACAAAAATGTATGTCATCAGTTCCTTTATTCTTGTGTAATTTTATGATTGATCAACTCCCTTCCAACATTATTGGAGTTGCTTTAAAATTAATAGAATCGAACTGTATTTATGTGACTATTCTCTTTCTGAGAATCATTTTAAAAGTATTCGACTCCAAACCACATACACCACACATATTGATTCTCAAAATTGAAATGCTAATTGAGTAAGAGCTATAGGTTTATTTTTAAATTAATTAAAAGTATCAATTTACTCACAATATCTTTATACCCCCCTATTCTATATTATTCCCTCTACTATGAAATGTTATATAATTATTTCATTTATATGGAAGTTTGACTTTAAATTTCCATTTAAATTAACTATATAAGAATTTAAATTATATTTAATTATTTTTAATTTATTTCTCAGAGTTATGTCAATTGTTTATATTTTTTTAGTTTTATCTATTGTAACGGTTTTAAATACATGTATCTTATTTATATAGTATGACTTAGCTCATTATTATTCTAAAAACTTTCTCTTCTCAAAGATTAAATAAGTCTTATCATTATTTAGACATCTACTACGGAAATTATTTAATCACATATTTTTTCTTTTTTTTTTTTGATTCCTTGTTCATATTATGGCATTACCCATAACTTAGAGTTGTTCATATTATTGTCCACAACTCCCATCAATAGATGAATTTAATTTTTCTTTTTCTTGTAATAAAAATTATATTCACTATTTTTTTATTCTACTGCTCAAATTAATATTTAAATTTATCAATAATATCTTTGAGTATCATTTATTTATTATCTACATTTTATATTTTAGCTGAATAGAGTACTACATACTCGTAGTATGTATTGATAATACCTGCATATTTATCTTTATAATGAGTTAAGACAGCGTTGTTATTTTTATCATTTAGCTCTATGTTTTTTTTTGTGGTCAAAACCTTATTAATTAAGATAGAGTAGTTGGTTATATCATCATAAGACTATTTTTCTTTCTTTCCATTCAGATTCAAAATAATCTTATTTACTATCTTTCTATTTAAATTAAAAAAATATATCTTTTAATTTTAAATTAAATTAAATATTATTATAAATATTATCCTAAACTCTCAAATAACTTTATAGTAGCGTTCCACTGCCCACTTAGCTTAGCCACAATACAAATTATTCCTTTAATATGTATAATATATAGTTTACTGATTGGTGAAGAAAATGCTCTATAGCCAAAGCAAATTTTCCTTTATTAATCACCATACAAGTTGATGCTTCAATTTATATTTTCTCTCTTCTATTATCAATACTAATATTATATAAATCTTAATTTCGTGTTTGTTATACTTAAATTTATTGAATTAACGTCTTAGGGCACTCGAAGAAGTGAACACTATTGATCACCTAAGGTAGTTACGAAAGTTAAGTTTTGATCCAACAACTCGGTAATTATGATTATGGGTTCGAACCTAGATTTTTTAGTCTTATTACTAGTAACAAACACGTTTTTGTTTTTTCTGTTGTTATTGTTGTGAACTCAAATTTCAAAAAACTCTTTCTTATTATTTAGAACAATTCACCTCACTCGTTGAGCCTCTCGTTTGAATTCTAACATTTATGTGTTAATTAGATTTCCTAATTAATTAATCAATCAATTCAAATTTAACTTTCTTTCCATTCAGATTCAAAAGAATCTTATTTACTATCTTTCTATTTAAATTAAAGAAATATCCTATCTTTAAATTTAAATTAAATACTATAACAAATATTGTAGGCCCAAGTAAAGGTGAGTTTGAAGACTGATAAAGGAACTCAGACATGGACCAGGTCCATCCTAGTGAAGCAGAGATATGGACAGACTCATGCATGTGAGATGCACGTGAAGGAGATAAACTTAACTTGAAAGAAGTAATATCTCCTGATCCTGATCGAAAAGGTTGCATATTAGATAAGGAGAAGGACTCCTTACTCAAAGAGAACACGACTTAAAAAAGAGGAGGAGTTAGAGGTTGATATCAACTAGAACTCTTCCACCAAGGAAGAGTAGTATCAGACTTCTAGTCAGTCTCTATTTACTAACTCTATAAATATCAGTGTTGTTCTCTTTTACAGGTAACGCACATAAGAAGAAGTTAAACGTGAATTGAGAGCTAAATAGCGAGGCAATTTTGCAAGCAATTCGTGTGTGATTCAAGCGTGCAAACTTGAAGCTACTTGAACCAGATAGAAGAACCAGTTCCAAGTGTTTGTCTTTTATTCTAGTTCAATTGTTCATATTGTACCTTTCAGCTTTATCTAGAAATAATTATATTAGGTACTCAAAGTTTTCAGGTTAGAGTTAACTTGAAGTTGTCGCAACAGTTGAGGCTGTGTGCTACAACGGGATTAGAGCTAGTCCTAGGTGTACAAAAGTGTTTTTGTAAATGCAGTTTTTGGCTTAGTGATTTTAGTGGAGAGTTTGGGAAAATCCTACTGGAAAGTAGGTCGTGGTTTTTTCACCTTTTGAGCCTGTTATTTTCCACGTAAAATACTTGTGTTCTTTACTTTACGCATTTATTATTTCTTCAATAGTAGGTTAAGGAACACGTAGAAGAACCAGGTCCTTCTATAATCAGTTTAAGCAAAAAATTGATCACCACAAAAATTACCCCCCCCCCCCTGTGTGGTATTGAAGTATAAAACATCAATTGGTATCTGAGCGGGTTATCCTTGAAGACGCTAACACCTTAGAAACAGATCAAGATGACTGCACCACCTGGAAACTGGGAAGGACAATCCACTGCTAGGCCTCGACTCTTTAATGGCCAGTACTACTCCTGGTGGAAAAACAGGATGAGAGATCACATCATCGGAGAGAACTATGAACTATGGGACATTGTTACTGATGGTCCCCTGGCTACCATGAAGAAGAATGCTGAAGGAGTAGATGTGCCAAAGACTAGAGCTGACTGCACTACTGAGGACTTGAAGAAGTGGGAAAAGAATGCTAAGGCTAAGAAATGGCTTGTGTGTGGACTTGGTCCAGACGAGTACAGCAGAATTCAAAGTTAATCTACTGCTAAGGAAATTTGGGACACTTTGCAAGTGGCTCGGGAAGGAACTCCTCAAGTGAAGAGATCAAGAGGAACACTGCTATACTCTCAATATGAGAATTTCACCATAAAGGAAGGTGAAACCATCCAAGAGATGTATACAAGGTTCACAACACTAACAAATAAACTTAAGTCTCTTGGAAGGATTATCCTTGAAGAAGAAAGGTTGAGAAAATTTTGACAAGGGTTTTGCCAGTTACTTGGGAAAGCAAAATCAGTGCTATTCAGGAATCAAAGAACATTGCCATTCTCAAGTTGGATGAGCTAATTGTAAATCTCACTGCCTATGAACTTAGAAGGCAAATCATGAAGATGGATGCACCCAAGAAGGAAAGGATCCTGGTTCTCAGAATCGTTGAAGGTACAGATCTAGAGGAGGATGAAATGGCTATGATCACGAGGGATTTCAAGAAGTATCTAATGACAGGAAAGGGTTCTTCAAGAGGTGCAACTTACAACAAACCAAGGGTCCCTGAAAACAGACCAACGAGGGCTGTTACAAATGTGGTAAGATTGACCACATGATCAAAAACTGTCC